AGCAGCGGGCGCAGTCTTTAGTAGATTTGACGTAGCGTGTTATTAAAACACAACGATGCATTCCTTTTTATCATACTCGCTTGCCCCTCTTACATTAATTTTCCACCTCTCTCTCTATCTCACTTCAATCAGTCTGTCCGTCGTCTCTTTCATTACACACTGTTTATCTCCCTCGTCCTTATCCTCCCCTCTCCTCCTGACATTATATACAAAGGAAATATCCATCGAGGCAAAGTGATATGAAGATTTCTGTTTGATGGCACTGAGCACCGCCTCTCCATCTCATCTCTTCTCCTTTTCTTCTCATGATGATTTTTTTCCGTCCTTTGACTGGTCTATTCCTCCCTCTCTCATTAACTCCTTGCTCCCAGTTCATCAACTCCTGTGCGCTTCCTTTGCCACCCGATAATAATATCTGAGCTTCCCTTTTCTCTCCTTTTGCTGTCACCCACCTCTTCCCCTCCTGCTTTGTGTAGCCTCTTCGTCACCTTTTTTTAAAATCTTCCACCCTTCATCCGAGCGCTTTCCGCCGCAGTAACAATTTGGTGGATCTGCGCAGCTCCCTGAGTGTGAATATAAATGAATGTGAAGTAGAAGAGCAGGTGTAGTGACAAATCTATCATCCGCTTCTCAGATGTACATCACCAGTGTGAGCTGAGCTGTTACATTTAATCCATTACTTGATGATGAACTGTTGTAATTCACTTTTGATGTATATCCCTTTTGCACTGCTTCCACTCCAGTAGCAGATTTCAAATGATTCATTTTTTCCCGATACTTTAATCCTGATTTTTTTTCTTTTTAATTATTACTGTTACTACTGGATCACTGGAGAAGATTCTTCCTGCAGTAATTTATATTCGGTGGTATGTCTCTGCCCTTGCATGTGCACAGATAGAAAGCCTGAGGTGAGAGAGCAGCATGCAGAAACAATCTGGCATCAGTGAGAAGTGATATAACAGTGATTAAATGAGATGTGGCATTGAAAGAAGAAGCTAGGACGGAGCCGGGTTTCAGATGTGCAGCAACCGCAGGGAGGCTCGCTGTTATCAGCCGGTCTGTGAGGATTACAGTCTGAGCTTCAGTTCTTGTCTTGCCTGAATTAATGCTAGTCTCAATATTTTGGATTATTATAAGAATTTCTTCATTTTCCCAAAGAGTGAAACCACAGGCTGTGTAATTATTGTATTGTATTGTATCTTTATTTATTTCAGACATATACAGAAAAAAAAACAATATATACACAAGTACACATACTTGCATTTACAAATATGAATATATATGTAAATACACACACGTATGTGCTCAGATAAAACAAAAAAAGAAAATAAATAAAATAAAACAGAGTCT